GCTCCCACTGGAGGTTCCCTAACAATAAGAATAACAGGTCTCGGTGATGGATGTTGCTTAATGAGCAACAACGTCGACAACATTAGCCAACATCATCTATGATATTCTACACCTGAATAACGGCTGTTTTGAACTTGGTGATTTCGTTTTTTGTGTATAGAAATCCTGTGAAGAGAAACCGAAGTTGACAAAAAACGATTGCTTCGAGGCAGGCACTTAGACATGACTGTGGTTGAGAGAAATCCCTACTATATATAAAAGCTATGTGTGTATGTGTGTATGTGTGCGTATGTGTGTATGTGAGAGGGTGATATGTGTGTATGTGTCTAATGTGTATGGGTGTATGTGTTGTGTGCTCACGAAAATTCATAGCAGGGACGCAGCATCGTAGGAGCGTTGATTTTTTGAGTATGATATGGGGGTGCGACGGGAAACATCATTGGTTGGGTCATCAAGTGATAACGACTACGATATGCGTACGAACGTAGGAGAGCACTTAAATAGAGAATAGAGAGCAGATTGTAGATAATGCCATTTTAATTATTATTTCAATATCATTTCAATCAGCGTGTGTAATTGTATAAACTCAAGACCCCTTTCGAACCGCTACACCTTCATAGAGATTTCTTGAGGATGAATGGGATCGCTCCGAATAAATAATGATCAATGAAATACTGGGCATTCCGTTTTTGGAGATATTACGACGCTTAAATTTACCTCGATACTCGACGCATTAGTGGTTATTGACATCATCACTTTAGCTGTGCACTTCACTGCGCTTACCAAACAGTGAGATACAGCCAAGATCAACAAGTGAGGCGTTTACAGTGACGTATTTGGTTCGTGCTGTGTAGTCGGTGTTCAGGCGTCACAAGTCATAGATGGTCTACAAGGGGATGTACCAACTCTCGGATCATTAGAATTTGTATGTTGATAGATATTTCTTGTTCTAAAAAGTTAAAAATGGTTATAGATTCGAAATGGCAGCTTGAAAAGGGGATAACGTAATGAAGTGAGTGCGATTGATGCAGGTTTCTAAAAGTCTGCCGTACTTGTCCAGGTCTAAGAGACATCACCTAGCGCGGTTTCGCAGCGTGGGGTGGGCGTAAGCTTTAGCTGCCGGAATAAGTAAACTAACTTTGAATCGTAATGAGCGAGCAGCGGATGAGTGTGTCTGTGGATGTGAGTGGTGCATCGCGTGGTAATTGGCATACACCAGTCACATTAGCCTGGGAGACAGTTAATTTTTGTTATTTGAGGGAATGGTTTTATGACTCAGTGAAGTTTAACACCTTGTTGAGGGATGGGAAGTTTCTCTATGTTGGTACTACCTTGCCTCCTCTTTGCAATCGCTTTTGAGACAGAAATTCGTACTGGGAAACGAGACTACTGGCAGGAAAGTATTGTAAATGATTGTGGATATAATGCATATTAACAATGAAAAACGCTATTGAATCATGAAGCTACATTCAGCACTCGCACGGGCTTAATTTCTTTCAATTTTGACAGTTTGGAAAAACGTGCGACGTTGCTGTGAAATTTTTGATTTTCGACGCTCGCTAATTTTACCGTGACTGCTTCGACTCTTTGAGATAAAATGAACAAATGAGTCCTGGAATAATTCATCAATATCATTTTTTTGCAGTTTTTGTAGCTTCTTTTGAGTGGGACCTTTATAGTGAGGTGATAAGGTTTGAAGTGATCAAATGCTGCATAGCTCCCTGATAAGATTTAAATTATCTTCGAAGGTTGCTTGTTCAAAAATTCTATTAAATCTCGTTCATTTTCCCGGTCCACTCCGCGTCATTGTTGAAACTACAAGGTATGAGTTTTAATAAAGGATAAAGCAGGGGCCAGCCGATGTTCAAGTCAGTGTTTTTTTTTATCCTCCCAGACAAGTGTGGTACCAATAACCGACCCCGGAGGGATGGAAGGCTTGGTTGGCGGCTCACGACCCATGATTTGATCCCCGGATTGATCGCGTGGTAAGCGTGGCCCTTGCCACTACACCATTTCCGCCCAGGTGTGAGCTTTATGAAAAGTAGTAAAACAGATTTGCACTTCAAAAATATAACTGCTCTAAAAATATAACTGATATGTCTAACGAGTTGAGGTCAGCCGTCAGTGCACCCAATTAAGCATGGTCTTTCCATAGGCAAATGAGAGAAAGTCGCGAGGTAATGGTAACGAGGTGTGAAAGGTCACGATTAACTAAAGATGTATACCCAGAAACCTCAGATGCAAGTGACCTCACACTGCCATGTGGGGCAGGGTCAACCCTACGTCGGGACAAGTACAGTCGATTTCTCGAGGTCTGATTGGGCGTGTCAACGGAAATGACGTGGCAGCCACCGCACTTGATAGAAGTTGCGCGGATAAGCTGCCTCCAACACCCTTTGCTGGTATCCGGTGGAGCATTTTATCTACACAACATCTATCATGTGCGATGGCTGCCACGTTATTTCCAGTGACACGCCCGATCAGACTTCGAGATATCGGCTGTAGCAACAGGGGGTCAGTACGATTCACACCTATTAAGAATACTCTGCAGATAATTGCAAGGTGACCTCATTAAGGGAGACGACCTGAGGGTAACAACACCACCCAAACATGTCTACTAGACACGTAGAAATGGCACGGAAGGCAAAACAACATGAATAAAGAATATGTGTGCAAAAGGGAAAATACTGCCAATCTAAGATTAAAAAAACAATCAAAGCGTAAGCAAGGTATTAGAAACTACAGAACCACACCTGAACTTTACTGTGAAACTAAGTGAACAGGAGTGGGTGGAATCAGGGCGATCCGCATGCTTTCGATGAAACGACGCATGCTCACGGCTCTAGCCAAGCGTTACTGTCCTCCCTCAAGCAAGTCAGTTAGAGATATGCCCTTCATGTGCCTCCTCTATGACTTTTCAAAACCTCAGGCTACCCCCCCCCCCACCATACGACTTCGCAGGACCCCTGGTAAAAAGAGCACCTTGAAGAGGGGTTATGGCAGGTATTTAAGCTAGCATAGATGACTATATTTTGCAGTTCCAGCGAACTCTACCAAGAGAGCATTTCGCTCTGAAATTGAAGCATTTTGTAAAAGAATAGCCCTCTACGTCTCGAATAGATCTATCATATACACATAGTCTATATCATGTTTATGAATTTGTGTAATAAATTTTTCAAATATTATTATGAATGATTTGTTTCCTCAATTAATTGCGTTTTACCTGATTAAGATAGGTGTGGGTGGTGTTGTGACCCCTAAGCCGTCAGCGTTAATGAGGTCCCTTCACACGGGGTGCATAGCGTTTCTCCTCCTGGGGTCAGCTCATCGTCGCACGCGGTGATTGCACTCGATTTCGCGATGTGTAGGTTTTGTACTCGTCCATGCTGTTGTCCACCGCTGCAGCCCTTTAAATTTGATTGTCAAGTGACGAGGTGGCTTTAGTCTAGTCCCAAGCACAGTACGGCTCCCACTTTGATGTTCCCCATGGACATGAGCGCCAGAAATTAAGTTGGGAAATTGAGAAACCAGCTGCGGAGAACATTGGAACTTTCTGAAACAGCCTAAATGAACGAACTGTAGTGAACCGTGGTAACGTCGTAGTATGGGCGTCATGTGTAAACATATCGCCTTACTGCATGATCTACTCTCTTTCACGCCATTGGGGAGAAGGGGGTCAGTCAAATAAAAAACAGGTCACTCAAACAGCGCTCACGGGTAGGCGCTGTTTGAGTGACCTGCTCGGGGGTAGCATCATACCTGGGCTCACAATGGACCATTAAAATACGAATTAAGGGAAAGAAGAAAAAACTGAGGAAATTGGCCCAGAGTTCGAGGAATTGAGCCCTTCCTTGCCCTCTGATTTGCGCATTCATGCGACTCTCGTCTTTATGCGCTCTTCAACACTACGCTCTCTCTCTCCTATCCAATCACTCGCCCCTCATAGACCTTAGGCGAGTGATTGGATGTCGGTGAGCGTACACCGGCCAACCGCGCCAAGATTGAGCTATGTTGGAGCGCCGAGGTCAAATCTTCGCTGCTAATTGCACTTTCAGGAGATCCAACTAGGCCATTTCCCCTTTCTTCGTTCTTCGACTTAAGTTCTTAGACCGACGTCATAGTCGGCGACGGATCAAGCGATGGAGCGATCGCGATCGCTCCATTGCTTGTCCGTCGCTTGTCAATCGCTCTCGGTCGAGCGATTGGCAAGCGATTGCGCAATCGCTTGCAAAGTGCACAAGCGACGGGCGATTGGCCCCGCCCCCAGTCGATGCAGTCGGCTGCGGTATCGATCGAGCAGAGCCATAAAATAAAATATGACTTTAGTTTGTTCAAATTCCGACTCTAGGAAAATACTCCCTGTGTGTTGTTTCAAAAGAGTAAATTATCGAGCATACATGGTGATGTATCGTATCGTGACGTTGATAAGTTATATTACTGTTTGACGAGAGTCAGGACGTCAGCGGTCAGCGCAAGCGATTCATGAAGGCCACATTACAGGCAGGTTGGAGGAGGGCGAGGCACATTACAACAACCCCTTAATTGGCTTACCGTATTTAGCTATATTCTAAGTTCACACACTAAGATGGCTCTAACAGGGAGAGCCAGCAGTCTGCGGGTCGTAATAAGGCGCTATGTCTCCTTAGGCAGGTGAGTGGAGGTGCTGATAAACTTCCTCATAGTTGCAGTTGCATCTCAATTTGCCACCCACATTAGCCTTTTTCATTTCATGGTTACAATGCTACCAACTCATCATCGGTTGGAAACAAATATTGATGCAATGTTGAATTCCGAAATGAAAACTGATATTGCACTGATAGGATCGAACTCGGCTATTGATTTACTATCGTTTCTCTGGAAGCAGTTTGCAACTGACACTCAATGTATGTGATATCAATCCAAATGGACCGCGATCTAGTAATATTTAGCGTGACAGTCAGTTGGTGTTCGCAACAGTTCACGCGAACAAGGAGGAGTTGACAGAGGAATTAGCTGCCGCTATGCAACGACTCTGGGCTGACGAAGGTGTGCGAGAATGCTATCGACGTAGTAATGAGTATCAAATAGACGACAGCGCTAAGTAGTGAGTGACTTTCACAAAATCGTTTTTTTCTTCTTTGAAATGAATGCTATTACAAGTAATAATGAAAGGTCATCTGAATGAAAAGGTGAAAAATGTTAAACGTTAAATACTGCATAGTATGCGCATATTAAGCAAACCATAAGATCGATCTGAATTGGTACTAACCTCAATTGGTTTTGGGGAACCTTTGCGTCCGGGGAGGCATCCATTGTACCAAGTATGCAGGTGACTCCAAGTTCACCTCCGCCAGTTCCAGTACTTGTAAAGATTCGAAATTCCTGAGTGGCTTCTGCAGAAATAGGTCCCCCGCACTCCGAGGACTTATCAGTCGAGTTGATTCGTATTACTATTATGACAATGTTCCTGTCCGCATCGAGCTTGACAGATTACAATTTCTGCGTTAAAGACGCGCAAACTCTTAAACTTGAGGCACGCAGTAACAGTTGGTATCTCGTTCAAATCTGTGTAGCGCTACACACCACGGTATTGTCATCTACACTGCGCCCCATAATTATACAGCCACCTATGAATTGCAAAAAATCTCGTCTCGGGATGTATTCTGAGAAGACTCCATATGGAAGAGATTGTAGGTATAAATGCTATTTTGCACACCAACTCGAAGTTTCAGCTTCGACATTTGAAAAAAGTTTTCCTGCAATTCTCCGAAAAAGCCTATGGCCTATTCCGCGAAATTATACAGCCACCCCATATTTTTCTCCTGCTTTTCTTTTCTTCTCGATCGAACTTCTTTATTATTATCGTCACTTATTCGTTGGGTGAAGACAAGAGGGATGTTGCCATCAGTTTCAAACAGAGGCAAACGGTAGCCAAATCGTGAAGGAGTTGAGAAGCAGTTACACTGCACGAATTTCGGGCCGAGTTTGCTTTGGAGTTAACAGTTTCTTTGAGCTTTGTGCAGGATATAGTGAAATAGAGTCGATTTTGGATACCATTTGCCTCTGTTCAAAGGAAGCAGTCACGCCGGCTTCCACGTAGAATTTGCTACCCTCGCGTTATGTATCGATAAGGTGTGAGGCAGTAATTGTTGGACGAGTGTAAGCCCATGGAAGATATGATACGATGAGATAAGGAGGTGCGGCTGCTCGATAGGTGCACTCCAGAATGAAAACGGGACGATAACGATAACGGTATCATATCTAGCACGTTCTTATCGCACCCCTTTCCACATCGATAAATCTTTGCTTTTGCTGAACGGAAGTGGATTTTGGCGCATTATCACTCCGTTGATAAGGCGCCACTGCCACTGAAACTCCACGTGTTCTAACATTGAGCAGGACCTCTACCCACTCCAATACATGGCTTCCCTTATCGTTCCCATGAAAATTATAGTGACCACTTCCTTTAAGTTCTTGACAACATCCCTCTTGTTTTCATCCAAAGAATAAGTGGTTATAACAGTAAAGATGTTCGATCGAGCAGAAAAGAAAAGCAAGAGAAAAATACGGGGTGGCTATACATATAATTTTGCGGAGTAGTCCTGAAGGGCTTTTTCGAAAAATTGCAGGAAAACTTTTTTTCAAAGTTCGAAGCTGGAATTCGAGTTGATGTGCAAAATAGCAATTATACCTACAATCTTTTCCATATGAAGTCTTCTTCGAATACATCTCAAGACGAGATTTTTTGCAAAATTCATTGGTGGCTGTATAATTATGCGGAGCAGTGTATGTGGTGGTACTCGAAGTGGCGTGCCTTTCCGGTGCAATTCAATGATAGTTTCAACGCAGGCCGACGACTTCGCTTTTCCGCTTGAAAGCTTGCGCAGATGTTGCAGATTTCGATATGAAGGGGGAAGGAAACTTGAGTGGGTGAACCAGTTTCTCATCTTCGTTATGACAGCCCAAAAGGTAGGAAGAACTTTGGAGAGAGTGAAAAATTACTCGTTCTCGCACTCACATGCACTGCGGAGTATCCCCCTTCCTCCACATTCCTGCAGCTGACTTCTCAAAGAAAGTGGTTACGATCAATCTTATGGGGACGATAAGCAAAGTTACGTACTGGATTTGGTAGCGGGAGATCCTATCCAACAAGGCGATAGGTGGCACTTTGGAGGCAATGGCGTGATGAAGCGCCAAAATCCACTTTTGGTAAGCAAGTATCAGACGTGGAGAGGATGGCAATAGCGGTGTAATAGATATGCAACCGTTATGGTCATCGTGCGATTTTCATTATTGAGCACACCGTATTCCAAGCAGCCGTATCTTATCTATGGTAGCGTATCTTCCATTAGGTTACGTTCGTGCAACATTATCTTTCAGATGTTATCGGTTGATAACGCGTAGTAAGCAGCTGCACCCGAGAGCCAGCGTGATTGCTTCCTTTGACGTACCTTTGACGTTCACAGCGAAACGACTGATTGTCATAGTTCAAACGTGGTGCTCCCTGTGTACCGAAATGTTCTCCTCTTTTCATTCAGATGAACCGCTCATCAATCTCCGCGGACTGAATGTAACAGCTTATTGTAACACGATTAAAACTTTTGCAGTTTCTTGGACAATTTGCCTCGGCTTTCGTCTCTTAACTACATCCCAAGTGAACAGGACCTGTTGAGGACACGTATCAAAACTACTGGTATTACAGAAGTTTTATTTGAACTCAAAGGACTCACATTCAGGTTATTTTATTCGATTTTGGCGCATTATAGTAGTTGTTTAGCCACGGCATAAGAATTCCCATTTTATTGCTGATGTAACCTAATCTGCACAAGATGCGTACTTATCTTCCCAAAGGAAGTGGTTGCGATAAATCTCATGGGGACGAATGGGTAACTGACATTGTAGATTGGGCAGGAGACCTACTTAGTGAGCCGATAGTTAACACTTCAGGCGCAGGGGCACCTCAAGTGGGTTGTGATAACCCATTTCCCGTTTGCAGCATCACCTAGGTATCAGACGTGGAAGCGCTTTTATTGGCAGCGTGATGACATGTACCGCTGTCGTTATAGTCCAATTTTTATTCTGGAGTGCACCTCATTTCAATTAGCCCTACCGTTTTATCTTATCTTGTCGTATCTTCCTTCCATGGTACTACGCTCGTCCAACTCAGACTTATCTCGAGTTTTCTGGTTGATAACGCATAATATGCAGTTCCATCGTGGCGTATCGTGATTGCTTCCTTTGAGGGAAGCGATCGCACCGATGCAGAGGCAGATAGGAGTTGGATATGTCATCGACGGAAATACTGAAATAGGTGTGAAAATAGAACTTGCAGAGTTATAGTTGCGAAATTTCTTTTTGAAATCCTACGGTAGTTTTGGCTTTGTCGTCACATAGGAAATGAATTGACGGCCATGAAACAGTTACATCGAGCGGAAGCTAACAGGGCCAGGAAAATGTGGGGTGAATGTACAGGGTGGGCAAAAATTACGGTAACAACAGAAATTGGTCATGGAGAAGCAGTGTCTCCGAGAAGTCCCAAATTATCAACACCACCATATTATTGGTTATCGAACAGAAAAAGATTGATCTTCGGAGTGGACGCATTCTGCGCTAGTAAAATACGAAGACTTCTTGAAAGTCATCGACTCTTTTGTTTAGGTAGGTGGTATCGAGTACGTCCAAAGCTTTTGAGGGGCTGCTGAACTAGTCGATGTTCATATTATGCTTGTAGCAATGATTTGCCTTCGACTCCACGATACAGTGCGCCCTACAGGACCTCAATCGGGAGAGCTGTGTTGCCACTTTTCTAATCTGATGAATTCCACGATATTCTGTTGGCATCGAATCTTGGCCAGTCTTTGCATTATGGGTGGGCACCCAATCTTGCTTTGAGGCTGTGTTTCTTATCAGGGGCCCTTCGGTCTAAAGAATTAACCCAGTCGGAGAGGGTTCGAGAAAACTTTACTATACAGTGCGTGCCAAAAGTATGTGGGCACCTTGGAATTGATTCTCAGGGGTCAGCTAAAGGCTTGTATGTCATGAATCCTCTAACATTCGGATCCTAGTGGTCGATAACCTACAATGATATTTTCGGCAAAAGATTTCGTTCTAACCTAGCGAATTATTTCTCAAGGAAAGTTTTTTCTTTGTATCAAAATTATGCGGACACTTTTTGAAAAACGGCAATATCTTCAGAATCTGAAATTGGTAGGCCTACCAAAGTTCCTAGTAGGTTGAGCCATACTGTTTGGCATGCTATGAACCGTGTCTGGATACATGTCTTGCAGATCTGTTCCCAACTAGCAAATTTCACCGACGTGTTAGATCACTTGTGACATTACTCCTTTGTTCAATGAAGTAGAGACCGCGAACCACGATACCTCAAATTTTTCAATAAGGATGAAGCCTGAGGAATACGCTAGGGCATAAGCCTGAGGGATACTGATAGTGCCGACTTGCCAATCAAAGCCGTTGCGTTTGGCACTTTTCCAAATTGAATGGTGTCAGGGATCTTCCCTGCAAAACAATGATTTGCGAGGATGACTTTTTGAAAAAGGTTTTAGCCGGGACTCAAGCACCTCATTATAATCCTAGTTGTCTACCTAACATGTTGGCAAGCCAAACTCCAATGTCCCCTCCTTTTGGAACCACCCCAGACCTTTGATGAACATGTTCCGAAATGTCTCTTCGAGCACATATGCGGGTCCGACCAAAGTCTCTCTAAAAACCACTAGACCCACCCGAATAGTAAGGATTAAGCTTCTTTCTGCCTCGAGTTGGTCTATGAAAGAAATTTCCACTGAGAGTCTTTTACACTAATTTTACCATTTCCACGAAAGCACTGTCTGCGTGGGTTCGAAGTATCATGTTGTGATCCTTTTTTGAGTGGGAATTCACCTTGCCGACCCTAACCCCGTTCATATACGAAGCCTTCTTCATCTTCTTTCGTGTCGTGTGCTCAGTTGATTGAATGAGGCACCGATTGGTCTTTTTTAAGAACGGGAAGAACATTTCAAAGTAAAGTTGAGTAGTAAGAAAAGAAAAATTTGGGAAAGGCTATTCTTCTGCTGTAATGAACAAGTAGCGATTGAGAACAACCCTCAGTCAAGGTCGAGAGCTTAGCATCAGGATTTCGGATTTCTCTCCAAACATACGAGGACGCATGACTGGCTGACGTGCTATTTCGCAATAGGAAGGTTCAGAAGCATGGGGATCCCATTTCTGTGCTCGGTCTTTTTCAGAAAAACACTTGCCGTATAGCTGAGTCACAAACTTTTGTGGAGAACTCCGCTTACCTCGGAAAAGCTCCGCACACTAACGTTACTTGGGCTCCACTCCCTCACCCACCTCTATCCTCCCTTCTCCCGGTCAGCGGGACATCTTGGAACCGAGCTGTGAATTTCCGTCGCAAACTCCGCCCACTTTGATGTACGCTCTACCGAGTAGTAGCAGCTGTCCTCCCATGCGTTGTCGGACTCGACCCACTCATTTTCCGGTTTCCTGGACTTCTCAGATTAGGGATCAGATCTCAGACTAAATTATAAGTTGGGGCAAACTCCGCCCACTTTGGAAAAGCCCCACCGATGACAGTTTCCGCTACTCCGCTACCCACCTCTATCCACCTTTTTCCCGGTCTCCAGGACTTCTTGGAACCGAGTTATGAATTTCCGCGCAGACTCCGCCCACTTTAGTCTTTCTCCGCCCACCGATAACAGCTGGCCTCCATCCACCTCTATCCTCCCTTTTTTCAGTGTAAGGGGCTTCTTGGAATCGAGTTATGAATTTCCGTCACAAATTCCGCCCACATTGGTTATACTCCGCCCACCGATGACAGTTGGCCTCCACTCCTTCGGGGGAGGGGGACTTTAGATGCAAGTGACCTCACACTCCCTATATCACACCTGCCAACCTGCGTGTCCTGTGGGGTGACCCCGTTAATTGATTGCGTTGACTAACTGACCTCGGCATTGATACTACATCACATCCCAATTAGAGGTATGCAGAAGATTTTAGAAATAACGAAAATCAACAAAATCGAAAATTAACGACAACCTAACAAAATCGCAAATCACACCACACGATAATCGAACTAACACTGAAAAAAACCGAAAACGTTACGATTTGGTAATTCACCTTTATTGCTCTAATAAACTCTGTAAGTAGCACCATTTTTGAAGTAAAACTGTAAACCTAGCAAAAAGTTGCGCAGTCCACGACATTCTGGCTCAGTTTTGAACATCGAAAATTCTGGGGCTGTTTGCCAGCTGGGCTGTTTTGCAACAATCTAATAAAAACGTGCGGAGGATAAAATGTAGGGACTACAGTGAAAGCAGCAGCATGTCCCAGTGAAGCGGAAGAAAAAACGTTTCTTCGAGAGTTTTTCATTTATCCTTGCGCTGAGCCACCCGCCAGAGGGAATAAATAAATCACGAGCTTGTACACTGCGACGCATTATCTTAGTTCCACCTACAAATTTCCCAAAGACTAGAATTTGGAGATGTTTTTGAAAAGGGCTCTACAGACAAATGGTGACACATGCAAATGCGAATCTGATTATATCACAGAAATCCAGTTTGAGTTTGCAAAAATTTTTTTTCCTCATTTTTTCGAAAATACCCTCTTACCTTTGACGCAAAATCATACTTCCACCTCGTGTTTCTCCGCTGTATTTTGTTCCTCAATCAAATTTTGAAATTATTACCCACTCAAGTGCCTTAGCTTATAGCAAAGGCAAGACCCCTGTCGACCTCCCGTAAAAAGAAAACCCTAGCAAAAAAAGACGCAGCAGTTGTTGAAGTGTCAGTTCACGCTAGAATTTGTCGGGGTGGCTTCATAACGAACAAGTTTCTCAAGGATGCTACAGGATATAATTCTGGGAGGAACCCTGATTACTATGTATAAGACTGAGATAAGCGCCGTATCGTGAGAAATAATACGACTTTATCCAGACGGGTACGAAAATCAAAACTTCTTCAGAAGTTAGTGTTCAATGGAAGCAGTTTTACGTGTTTTACAACACGCTCGTGACAGTCCATTTCTGGAGGATAAGAAATACGCTTTCAGTAAGAAGAAATCAGGAAGAAAAACGAGCCATTTTTCTATGAAAACTAAGCCAGTTCGAGTGAAGCGGTGGCATTCTTTCATTTGCGACTTTTGATTTGCGTCTTTCTTTCCCTTGACGTTTTTCTTTCTCAGATCGGTTTTCTACTTCGTAGCACACATGTATGGAGAAGAAAATGATCAGGAGGATGGTTAGAGGTTCCAAAACATCACAGATAAAAAAAGTGTCTTCACTTCGCCCTACTTAACAAAACTTTTTGAGAAAAAAGGCTCGTTTTCTTCTCTGATTTCTTCTCACTGAAAACGTATTTCTTATCCTCCAGACATGGACTCTTACGAGCGTTTGTAAAACACGTGAAACTGCTTCTTGAGACTCTAACTTTTGAAGAAGTTTTGATTTCCGTACCCGTCTGGATGAAGTCGTATTATTTCTCACGATACGGCGCTTATCTTGAGTAATCAGGGTTCTTCCCAGAATTATATCCTGTAGCATCCTTGAGAAACTTGTTCGTTATGAAGCCACCCCGACAAATTCTAGCGTGAGCTGACACTTCAACAACTGCTGCGTCTCTTTTGCTAGGGTTTCCCTTTTACGGAAGTTCGGCAGCGGTTTTGCCTTTGCTATAAGCTAAGGGACTTGAGAGGGTAATCATTTCAAATTTTGATTGGGTAAA